CAACTGTAAGCTTTCCTTTCCTTTCCTTTCCTTTTCCCTCTCCTCCTCTCCTCTCCCTTTCCTTCCTCTCAACATTCTCCCCTTCCCCTTCCTTCCTTCCTTCCTTCCTTCCTTCCTTCCTTCCTTCCTTCCTTCCTTCCTTCCTTTTTCTCTGTCACTTTCATTCCTCTCTTGCTCATTGTCCTTCCTTCCTTCTTTCCATGCTTCCTTCCATCCATCCATCCATCTATCCATCCATCCATCCTTCCTTCCTTCCTCTTTCTCTGTCTCTTTCGTCCCTCCCTCCCTCGCTCATTGTCCTTCCTTCCTTCCTTCCTTCCTTCCTTCCTTCCTTCCTTCCTTCCTTCCTTCCTTCCTTTCCACATTTTGGGTCCTAAACATAGACACAAAATTACTGAAGGTGCCATGCCTGTTTCTCCTTAGTTCTAGGTTGATTCTCTCCTGATTGAATTCCAACCATTGTTTCTTGTCCTGCCTTCAGGTACTTTGGAGAATAAGTTGACCCTCTCCCCCCCCCTCTTCTTTGTGGCAGCCCCTCAAATATTGGAACACTGCTATCATGTCACCCCGAGTCCTTCTTTTCATTAGACTACTAGAGAGACCCAATTCCTGCCACCGTTCTTCATATGTTTTAGCCTCCAGTCCCCTAATCATCTCTGTTGCTCTTTTCTGAATTCTTTCCAGAGTCTCAACATTTTTGTACAATATGCCCTAACACAGTGCTCTTCTCGGCTTCAGGTCTGATCATACCCAGACAGCAAGAAATTCTGGGGCCGTGGTTCCAAAACATCTGGAAGGAAATGGGATGCAGAAATATCAGATATTTAGCTTCTTTTTCTCTGCAGGACGGGAGGAAGCCTTCAGAACGGGCTATGCCCCCCCCTCCCTGCTCCCCGCCAGCACATTATTCCCGTGGAGATATGTCCTAGGAAATTGAATGGTCCTAATTAATGACTCATTAACTGATACTGACATTGCCCCTTATCCTAATTTATTAATATCAGTCTTGGCTCTTCCATCTCTTGCAGCTTAAAACAAGATGCAGAAGTGTTTTAAAGAGAAAGCAGCCGTATTTCAAGATTGCATTTGAAGACGTCGTTGGCCGCCATGTCTGGGGATGCTAAATCTCGGCCAAATCTCCTTATCTCTGGAACCATGGGGAGATGGGGAGGGGCTGGCTTCACGTTCAACAGCTAGTGCCTCAAGAATTAGAAACTTGCTGTTAAACACACACACACACACACACACATACATGCTGCAAAACACACGCACACACTAAGTCACACTTAGCCCCCTCGACCAAACTCCATACTTTTTCAGCAAGCTGACTGCTTTAATCATTGAAACAAGACAGTTCTGAGAGGAAGCGCACCTACACTGAGAGGCTGAAAATAAAATGGAGGCAGAAATGTCAAAGCAGGACCCCAGCTCAACAACAAGGCTTTCGGCTTTCCACGCTGGGAAGGTCCCGGGTTCGATTCCTGTGACCTCTCTTCCAAAGGGATCGGTGACCGTGTGAAAATAAACCTAATCCCCGGAGCGCAATATTGAGGGAAAAATAACGACCGCATCGGTGTTAATCAGAGTAGGCTGCTTCTTAGCCAGTTGGACAGGAATAGAGCCTAGGGGACGGAATCATAGGCTGGAAAGGGAACTCAGAGGTCTTCCAGTCCAACCCGTTGCTCAAGGCAGGAGACCCTATTTCGTCTTGGAGGAACGGCTGTCCCGTCTTCTCTTGAAAATCTGCAGGGATGGAGTACCCATTGCTCTGGGAGGCAAGCTATTCCATTGATTAATTGTTCTCCCTGTCTGAAAATTTCTCCTTACTTCTAGGTTAGATCTCTCTTTAACAAGGTTTCTTCCCCCCCCCCCATTACTCCTTGTCTTGCCCTCTTGTGCTTGGGGAAAGAGCCAGGCCCTTCTTCTCTGTGACAGACCCACAAATACTGGAAGACAGTGACCATGTCCCCCCCTAATCCTTCTTTTCGTTTAGGACAGACCCAATTCCCTCGTAAGAGCTTCTTATACGTCTTGTTCTTATACATGAATCAAGTATCAAGTACCACGATGTAAAAAAAGGCGCTGAGACTCTAGAAAGAGCGCAGAGAAGAGCAACAATGGTGATCAGGGGACTGGAGGCAAAAACATAAAAGGAAGGGCTGCTGGAATTGGGTATGTCCAGTTTAATGAAGAGAAGGACGAGGGGGGACAGGATAGCAGTCTTCCAGTATCTCAGGGGCTGCCCCAAAGAAGAGGGAGTCAAGCTCTTCTCCAAAGCGCCTGAAGGCAAGACAAGAAGGAAGGAACCTAATCAAGGAGAGAAGCAACCTAGAACTAAGGAGAAACTTCCTGACAGTGGGAACAATTAATCAGTGGAACAACCTGTCTCCAGAAGCGATGAATGCTCCAACACTGGAAGTTTTTAAGAAGAGACTGGACAGCCATTTGTCCGAAATGGTATAGGGTTTCCTGCCTGAGCAGGGGGTTGGACTAGAAGACCTCCAAGGTCCCTTCCAACATCAACATCATCAACATCATCATCATCATTATTATTATTAGTTGAGCGTCTTCCATTCCTGGTTGATCTTCATAATCATGAAGACTAGAACCTTAATTTAAAAAAAAAAAAAAAAAAAGCTAAAGTTTTGCTGGCCAGTTGTGTTCAAACCAGGTAGCCCAAAAGTCTCTCCTCTCTGAGCCCTAAGTAAAAATGGACAGCTGAACCACAGGCAAGCTGCTTTCCTTTCCTTTCCTTTTTCTTTTTATATGAGGGACAAATTTAATGTCATGCCTGAAAGAAGCCGGGAAGAAAAAGCAGCCAAGGGAAGAATCAAATGCGACTGGAAGTATAATTACGGGGAGAGAGTTCTTCCCTTTTTAACATAAAAAGGCTCCAGAGCCACCTTCCTTCCTGAACAGGAGCACAGCGTAAAGTTGAATCGGGTTTTCCCAGGACACAATTACAGCTGGCTGCTTCTGTTCTGCCAGCTTGGTAGCCGTGAAATCAATGCAGACAGACAGAATTTAATTTCTTCTTCTCCCCCTTCCTGGAAGCGCCACTTTCCCCGTTTCCCCCACCCACCCCGGTCCTCCCCTGACACAAAACAAAGGAAGGGCAAAACCTTTGGGTTCATTTGAGAGCACAGTGGAAGATTTTAATGGGCAGTGGCAGAGTGGCAAAAAAAAAAAAAATTTAAGGAATCTTGGTCACCACGATGTAAAAAAGATGCTGAGACTCTAGAAAGAGTGCAGAGAAGAGCAACAAAGATGATCAGGGGACTGGAGGCTAAAACAGATAAGGAACGGCTGCTGGAATTGGGTGTGTCTAGTTTAATGAAGAGAAGGACGAAGGGGGACATGATAGCAGTCTTCCAGTATCTCAGGGGCTGCCCCAAAGAAGAGGGAGTCAAGCTATTCTCCAAAGCGCCTGAAGGCAGGACAAGAAGCAACGGATGGAATGGCTGAAGGACCAAGTTATGGACAGATCATCATGAAGAATATCTACATCGGGGGTCTTCAAACTCGGCCCTTTTATGACTTGTGGACTTCAACTCCCAGAATTCCTCAGCCAGGCACACGTGCCTGGCTGAGGAATTCTGGGAGTTGAAGTCCACAAGTCATAAAAGAGCCAAGTTTGAAGACCCCTGATCTACATGGTCATTAAAAAACAACAGTAACTTGGTGGAACATTCAACTTACAGATCCTGGTGGACAGGCATCCATGTCAATTGGATTGAAAGTCTACCCTACAAGCCAGAATCTGTTCTTGTCAATGAAATATATCTAAATGTATCTAAATATATTGATATAAACACATACACACACACACACACACACACACATATAGATAGATATTGATATTTTAAATACATTGATACATATACATACATACATATATGTATACACACACACACACAAACATATATATTGATATATTAAATTTGTCTTAAATAAGTTGCAGGTCATCTCTGAAATTCAGTTATGCTATGGTGCCCTCTATTGTTCAAAAGATGCCAAAGCAGCAGGGTCTAATGGCTATAAAGTGGTTTGGTTTGCCATAAATCAGAGCCTTTCCAAATGAACATTTTTTATTAAAAGGTGGATGCTCTACTAGGTCACTTCATCAGAGGCATGCAGCCTACAATGTGCCTTTTTTGGTTGTGAATTACTGCTTTGGACTGAGTCCAAAAAGAAATTTCTGGGTCAAGTCTAGCCTAAGGAAGAGAAGGACCAGGGGGGACATGATAGCAGTCTTCCAATATCTCAGGGGCTGCCCCAAAGAAGAGGGAGTCAAGCTGCTCGCCAAAGCGCCTGAAGGCAGTTCCAGAAGGAACGGAGGGAAACTAATCAAGGAGAGAAGCAACCTAGAACTAAGGAGAAACTTCCTGACAATTAGAACAATTAACCAGTGGAACAACCTGCCTCCAGAAGCGGTGAATGCTCCAACACTGGAAGTTTTTAAGAAGAGACTGGACAGCCATTTGTCCAAAATGGTATAGGGTTTCCTGCCTGAGCAGGGGGTTGGACTAGATGACCTCCAAGGTCCCTTCCAAGTTTATTATTATTATGGATCATCGCACAGTCAGCCAGATGTTCAGACTGGATTTGGCATTTTTGTCTACCTATCGAGTCCTTTCCAAGGACCTGGGATAGGCAGATGTGGATGTTTGATGGTATTACAGATATCGTCGCAGGATGGAAGCAGTTCCTAGTAAGGCCGCCTTTTGCAATTGACTAATGGCAAATTTGTCAATGCCAATGATGGTGTCCAAGTGATGCTCCAGTTGTTTTGGGATTGCACCCAAGGCGCCTATGACTGTTGGTACTACCCTTGCTTGCCTTTGCCACAGTCTTTCTATTTCTATTTGTAGGTCTTTGTATTATTATTATTAATAATAATAATAATAATAATAACAATGCCCGACAGGGTGCTGGAGCTGCACAGCAGAGTCAGACACCAGGGTTTTGCCCAAAGGGAAGGCCATTAGGTTCTCCCGCACCTGACTTGTACACGTTCCGGAGGCAGGAGAGCGAGGCGTTGAGTCGGGCGCATTCTTCCCAGTTAGCCCCAAATTTCTCCACCGTCTTGCAGACCTGCTCGTCTGTCATCTCCAAAAGGTCTTCCAGACTCAGTTGCCCAGAGGCGATTTCCTAAAGGAGGAGAGAGAAAGAGCAATAAGGAGATTTAATCAGTTAGAGAGATTAGCAACAGGTGGGGGGGGGCTCGTCTGCTAAAACTCGCCCCTGTGAGGAACACTAATGGGTGAAAAGAGTCCTGCAAAACAAGGTTGCAACATGGAATACTGCTATTAGTCTTTGACTTACTAACAGTTCACTTAGTGATCGTTCCAAGTTACAACGGCACTGAAAAAAGGACCATTTTTCACACTTAGGACACTTGCAACAGGGATTTACAGTTGGATGTTTGACAACTGACTCACGTTTGTGATGGTTGCAGTGTGTAAACATGGTTTATGTGTCTCTCGATGGCTGATCAACATGATTAATGTCTGCATAGCTAGAAAGTTAGCCAGAAAATCTGCAAAAAAAATTACTAAGCTCGGAGAGAACCAAGGACTCCGAAGTTCAACCCTGAACTAGAAATATTCTCTTTGGTTGGCTTTTCAGGACGGGAAATCTGGGTAGCCAGGAGTTTCCAAAGAGATGGGAAAAAAAGAATCCCCCCAAAATAGGAATACCAACAGATGTACTTCCCATCATCTCTAAAGCCAGCTCTCAAAGGACCACCGAGCGAAATTCAGTATAAATTCAGTTACCCTGAAAATCACATAGGAAAACAGAAGATTCTTTCGTAACACAAGAAAACTGGAGAAATTGCGAAAGGCAGAGTTTGGTGCAACAATGGGTAGACTTCAGATAGAGAGAAAATGTAATTTTACTAATAAACGCACAATTTTACTCAGTAGATTGCTCTTCCTTGCATCACTTGCACAAGTAACTCTTATTATGATGAACCTCATAATACAAACCCCTCATTTGGAGCTGTAAAAATTAGTCTCTCTCTCTCTCTCTCTCTCTCTCTCTCTCTCTCTCTCTCTCTCTCTCTCTCTCTCCCTCCCTCTTTCTCCCTCCCTCCCTCAGTCCGTCTGTCTGTCTGTCTCCTCCCTGCAACGTTCAGTAAGATGGAACACTGCTGCCCTCTTGTGTTTCTATTGCAATCATGCACTTGAAAAAATACACCATTTAAGAATTGTCTCTCCTTCCTCTACACAGGAAAAGAAACGAACCTAGAAATTTACATCTTTATCCAGAGTTGCATACAGCCCATAAAACATCTGAAAAGTTGTGGAGGACTGAAATCGTTAATGTGACATAAGGGAAATCATGCTCAGTATATGGGGAATATCCATGAAATGTACTGAATTGTTTTACATTGGTATTCGGTTTAAATAAAAGCATTTTTCATTCTTGTCTCAATGAGATTGTCCACGTTGTTCTTCTCTCTGCCCTTCTGTATTATAGCTTCTGGGAAGCCATCAATCAACATCAGGTCCTTTTTAATCTGTGTTTCTATATCATATTTGTATGTTGCCACAATCAAACATTTACAGAGGTTTTACAAGAATCACAGCAATAGTGGTTGCATTATAATAAAAATTGGGTAAACAGTTCAAAGGGTTATTCTTATTATTACATTATTTATTTACATTTCATTCTCCAAAGCCCCTGAAGGCAGGACAAGAAGCAACGGATGGAAACTGATCAAGGAGAGAAGCAACCTAGAACTAAGGAGAAACTTCCTGACAGTGAGAACAATTAATCAGCGGAACAACCTGCCTCCAGAAGCGGTGAATGCTCCAACACTGGAAGCTTTTAAGAAGAAACTGGACAGCCATTTGTCTGAAATGGGATAGGGTTTCCTGCCTGAGCAGGAGGTTGGACTAGATGACCTCCAAGCTCCCTTCCAACTTTATGATGATGATAATGATGATGATGTTTCTAAACCTGTAATTCCTGTGCATAGGCCTGAGTAGCAATAAATCAGTTTAACTGGACCTGCTTGTGTGGAAGGAAGCCCTATACCATTTCAGAAGTTTCTTAAAAACTTCCAGTGTTGGAGCATTCACCGCTTCTGGAGGCAGGTTGTTCTCCTGGTTAATTGTTCTCACTGTCAGGAAGTTTCTCCTTAGTTCCTGGTTGCTTCTCTCCTTGATTAGTTTCCCTCCATTGCTTCTTGTCCTGCTCTCAGGCGCTTTGGAGAATAGCTTGACTCCCTCTTCTTTGGTGCAGCCCTTGAGATACTGGAAGACTGCTATCATGTCCCCCCTCGTCCTTCTCTTCGTTAAACTAGACAGACCCAATTCCTGCAACCGTTCCTTATATGTTTTCTTGCAGATGTTTCATTACCCAGATTAGGTAACATCACCAGAGCTGCTCAGCTACCTAGTTGGAGAAAGAAACATCTGCAAGAAAACAACCAAGCTCAGAGAGCACCAAAGACCTCTCAAAACAAATAGTCAACTGTCGAGGGAAACAGGAAGCAGTAACTGCTGCCATCCAGGCCTCGCTCACCTCCATGACCTCCTTGCGGATGTTGACGATGCGGAACCAGTGCCAGAGCTGTGGGAAGCCCTCCAGCTTGGCATTTCGCTCCTGCAGAGACACCTTCCTTTTGCAGGAGAGCTGGCGGCTGAAGTATTTCACCAGCTTACTCTGAAAAAGAGGAGAGGAAGGGTTAGGGGAGAAGCCGGGATGAACAAAGGCGATGATTCCCTGCCACCCCAAGCACATGTTTCCTACGTTTCGCTCCCTACTGTCCCATTATGTGGGTAGCCAATGTTGAGTGAGTGAGTGAGTGTGTGTATATGTATATAAAAGTAAAGATAAAGGTTTCCTTGGCCAATCATGTCTGACTCTAGGGGGCGGTGCTCATCTCTGTTTGTTAGCCAAGAGAGCCACGTTGTCGGAAGATGCTTCTGTGGCCATGTGGCCGGCACAACTGTCTGCCAGAGGTGCACGGAGTGCCGTTACCTTCCCACCGAAGGGGTACCTATTGATCTATTTGCATTTGCATGCTTTCAAATTGCTAGACGGACAGGAGCTGGAGCTAGTGACAGGAGCTCACGCATCACGCGGTGCTCGGGGTCTCGAACCCAGGAGATGACCAGGCTGAGCCCAAGGGAGGGGTCAAAGGCCAGATTGGGAGACCAGAGACATGAATGCCATGCTTGGTTTATAAGGTTGGAGTCCCAAAATCTTGCAAGTCTGAACGTGCTCCCCGCCCACTGACCCACCCCCACCAATGAGAACTGGCAAGGGTCATGTCTGAGACACTGACTCTAATCATGGTTCTGCCCCAGATTCAGATTTCAACCATTGCCTTGGTTGCATCTGTTCCTCCTGTACCTCAAGGTTATTCCTGCTGTTCATTAGAGGATGAGAACGTGGGGGTTTTCTGCTCCTAGTTCAACAGCATTCTGCGTCTTGACGTGAGAGAAGGCCCTAAGTCCTCCAGACACTTCTGTGGCTGTGGGGGGACTAGGACCTGGTTCTAGCACCTTCAGCCCTACTACACATTGATGCTAAGGTTGATGGAGATGATCCAGAATGCTCCCATGCCAAAGGGAGGACCAGAACCTGGGACCCCCCCAGTCCTAGTCCAGCACGTTCTCCAATGGATCCCTTAGAATTTGCCTTCAGAGAAAGGGACTGATCCAAAGTCCCACAGCCAGCTTCTTGGCTGAGGGAGGACTTCAACCAAAGTCTTCTCACTTGAGCTCTGCCAATGTATTTCTTTACTGATTAGCTTTCTACCCCACCGTTATCACTTTGTACATTACTCAAAGCAGCAAACATACCCGATGCTCCTTCTTCTTCCTGTTTTTACCAACAGCAACAACCCTGTGAGTTGGGCAGGGCTGAGGCAGAGGGACTGCACTAAGTCACCCAGCCACCATTCAAAGCTAAAGTGGGACTAGAACTCAGTCACTTGGTTTCTAGGCTAGCACCTTCGCCACTACACCAAACTGGCTATCCAATTCATTTCGTGCCTCTTTGCTGAGAGGTGAAGGTGCTGGACACACGCGTGAGCACAACCCAGTTGCACACGATCAGTATTATTTTAAAGAAATGTGCCAACTCCGGAAACATAATGAGAAATAAAATTTTATGCTTGAGGCTGGCAGTTAGATTGGTTTCGTGCTAGCTTCCCAATTATTTCTTTTAAATTAAAGGAGTCTTTAGAAAATAATAAAATTAGGTAGGGCATGGAGGGTAACAGACTCCAAATTACGTATCGGCGGGTACGTGGTGCCTACAAAGGTCACAGTGAGAACTGAGGCCTTGTAACTTTATCAGCTTTCTCAATTCTATTTCCATTTATATTTAATGAGAGCTTTTTTTTCTTCACGCACCTGACAGTCCTCCTCCATCAGATACCTAAGCCCTATTCACACAATCTGCTTATCACACTTCACCAGCAAAGTAGAGAGGGGATTTATAAATATAATTTAAAAAAAAAAAGCCTTGTTGACAAATTTTCAGTAGATCTATCTCCTTTTTCAAAGTAAACAGCCTTTGCAAAGCAGTTTGCAAAAATGAGAGTGGTTATTTGATTAAGGGAATGGATTACGAACAAAACTGTTTTAAGTCCTGATATAAAATTATAACAAACGAACAAACATTTCATTGAGTGGAGTTTGACGGGAAAACAAAAGGCCAACGGACACTTCTAGGGCCTTGCCCTCTTTTGTCAGGGAAAGCCAATAATGAATTAGGAAGGTTAAGATGTCATTCCCTCCTCAATTTGACCAAGTTAGAATTCTTGGCTTTTCATCTGCTAACAAACCACGAATCGTAATCAAAGAATAAAACCCAAACTTTCACATTCCAATTAACCTGTTTCTTAGTTGGAGACCAAATTTTCTGCCCATCACCTTAATTTGGTTCTCAGTCCTTCCTCCATGGGTTTAAACCACCCAATTTCTTTATAGCAGAGGTCCCCAAACCTTTGGACACCAGGGACTGGATCCGTAGAGGAAGGTTTTTCTGCAGACCGGAGGGTGCGTGGTTTTGTGTGCTGCCTGCATCCCACGGATGGGGCTTTGCTTGTTTGTGCGGACTGGTTGCTGGCCTGCCGCAGCCCGGTACCGGTGTCCTATAAAGCAGGGGATTGGGGACCCCTGCTTTATAGGACAGTGGTCAGCTTTGGAAGAGTGATGTTTTTTAAAAACAACAAAAACAACAACACCGGAGTATGTACTAAAATATCTCTGTTAAAAAGTTCTTGGGTTGTTGTTTTTTTTATTATTGTGCCTGGACATTAGTCTCAAAGACCTACATCCCTTCTCCTATTCATTCTCCTCCATTCACAAACGAGGTCTAATGGCTTTAGCTTGTCCAGGCACAAAACACAAAACTTCTATTGGATCCACTTCTTGGCCAGACTGCAAGGCCTTCGACCATCACTGAAGCAGGCATTCTAGACAGAAATGTTCATACACTCACGGGTGCCTTCCTCCCCATGGACTAGACCCTTGCCGCAGCAAAATATTCTGCCCCTGAAATATTCTGGCTTTGGCACAGCCTCGGCAAAAATGTTTTAGAAGTCAGGAGAGGCCTTTCCGATCTTACGGGAAAACTGCCTGGTTGAAGCCTATCCCAACCTGTTTCACAATCAGAACCTTCCACTTTCCCGGGAAGGGTTATGCCAGACTGTCAGAATGAGGAGGGGGATCAGAGTAAACTCTGCAGAAGTGTTTACAGAGCTAGCGATGGAAATATTGCAAATCAAAGCTGTTATTTCAACTGAAGTCTGGGCAGATCAAAACTTCCCCCGTGCATTTTAACTGAGGAACGGCTCGCTGGAAAACATTATTTCACAAAGGAAGGCAAATACACAGTACAGATCCCAGGATAATGTTGCAGGATCCAATTTAGATCAGTCACCAGGATCAGAAGTTTAGCCTTGCGAGCTTGTGCATTCGTGTTGGAGCCCATCCTCTACCCAAATGTATGTTTTGGGCTATTCTATGTGTAGTATTTATGTGAGGCCTGGTTTTTATTTGCTGATTGGGACGTTGATGGCCGGCTATTAAGTCATTACTCCGTTCCTGAGAACCTGATAAGCTGGTGGTTAAATCAGCACTCCTGTTGATTGACAAGGGGCCCCGTTTCCCAGGCTTCAATCATTTTCCCTGGCTGTTTTTGTACCTGCTCGGCCAACAATCTTAGTAGCAAAATGCCATGCTACTGTCAGAGAGAAGTTCCCTGAAGATGGGGTCCAGCACAAGTCCAAAAACTCAGAAGACAAAACCTCTGGTCCCAGTGACCGACCTAGATTGCATCCTAAAGCATGATTTGTTTGGAGGAGAAATAAATATGCAACAGAATAATTAACGTCTCGGGAGAAACTGAGGGCATAAGATAATCAGCTCCCGAGTCTAAAATTACCTAATTGCACCACGGCATGACTACAGTGTGTTGAGCATGTGATGCTGAAGCACCATCACTGTGATGAGAGGAGAAGGGGGGAAAGGATAAATATAGGCGAGGACTGAGAATTGTACAACTCCGCGAGATTGGAGGAAATTGGAGGAAGTTTTGTTTGTCCTACCGTAGCCAAACCAAAATCTCTGGGTAACCCATCAGCGAGGCAGAAAAGAATGCTTTTATTCTCCTAATATCTTGCACTCAGCCCCATTCAATCTCTGATCCTGGATGGTTTTTTTTTTTCCCACAACTGACAAGCATTTTAATATAGAGCTTTTAAGCCACTGTTCAAGCGAAATTATTCTCCCAGGATAGCTTACAACAACCGGTAAAACTATCTAATAGAGAAGAAAACAACATAAAATAAAACAAACCAGTAATGGAAACAACTTGAAAGTCGCAAAATACATAAATAAAACCAAAGGGGCTTTCAGAGATGAGGAAAAATGGTAATTTCAAAATAGCAGCAGGTTAAAGAAACATTTAAGGAAAACGTAATGCTAGATTAACAACCACGTAAACGGAGCCTCTGAAAACAGCTGAGGGCCAACAGCGCAGTTTGATCTGTGCTTTTGGTTTGATTTTTGAGATATAAGCTGGATCAGGACATCTGTATTTATAGAGGGATTGTGAAGACCCGGATTGTGGTCCATGTCCCACCTTCCTTACAAAGAGGCAGAATTGTCAACCCAGCTAGTGCTCAGCTTACAACAGTTCATTTAGTGACCGAAGCTTACAATGGCATTGAAAAAAGCGACTTATGACTCTTTCTCACACTTACGACCATTGCAACGTCTCCATAGTCACGTGATCCAAATTCAGACGCTTAGCAACTGATTCATATTTATGACGGTCGCAGTGTTCCAGGGTCACGTGATCCCCTTTGGCGACTTTCTGACAAGCAAAGTCAATGGGGGGGGAGCCCGATTCCCTTAACAACTGTGGCAAGAAAAGTCACACCAAAGGGGGCAAAATTCTCTTAACGACTGCCTCGCTTAGCAACATAAATGTTGGGCTCAACTGTGGTCATATACTGAGGACTAAGTAGGCCTCTCTCTAGCTTCCCCCCCCCCCAATGTTTAACGCAGTGGTTCTCAACCTTTTTAATGCCGCGACCCCCAACCGGTCGTAAGTCGAGGACTACTCAACTGGTGCAGCCCCATTTGCAGAATGGGACTTTTGGTGGGCTCAGCAGGGCAGAGACAGCCTGGACAATTCCTATT